ACGCCGTGAATGGGGACGCTGTGTTTACCCCTGAATGGATGAAGAAGGCAGATTGAATGTGAAGCCAACTCCGCCGAGCTCATCTATAATGGATGGCGGGCTGGTAAACGTCCCACAGAGGGACACGGGACGTGACGGCGAAGGAGACAGGGACAGACTGTCAATAGAGCGCGGGCACGGTGGTAAAGTTAAGAGGTGGCGGTGGGGAAAAAGCGAAAGACGGCGGCGAGATGGATTGGAGGACACGGGCCGCACGCAAACAGTTGGTCTGCCGCTTCATTTCATGTTTGATTACCCATGATGACTCGGGATGAGGGGGCAGTGGAGAAGATGGATCGGGCCGGGAGATGGGAATGGGGACAGGAGAGGAGGGGAGGGTGGAGATGGAGGCGGTGGGCTGTGACCACACACACACACACACACACACACACACACACACACACACACATTTACATTTACTTCTCAGTGGAGCACAAAGATTATAATTAAACCCTTTAAGAGCCTCCGTTAACAAGCCATTGATCTTATTGACTTCTCTCCTCATAATGATCTATAAACTTTACAGCGATGGAAGAAGGAGTCAGATTATTTCCTTAAGCAAAAAGTAGCAAAAGTTTTTCTGTCCCCTGGGAGCAGCAGGGACAAACCATCACATATTACTTTATATTTACATTTAGAATACATTAGTATTGATTTAGAGTCAAGCTTCTGTCCACCTGAGGGATATAACTCCAATATTCACCCTCCTTTTAGCTCTGGTTTGGTCTCCACCACCTCCTGCCGTAAATATCTGGCTCTTTAGCTGCTACATGTTCCACCGCCTTCACACAACACAAAATGTGATGGAAACGCGGTTGATGAGAGCGAGGAGCGGCAGGGACAGGTGATAATTCAGTGGGTTCGTTACTATGAGCGACCCTTGTCATATCACATATAGTCATCTCATCCATTGATCATGTAAAAATATAAGCAATCATGATGCAGCTTAGCGTTTTATTATCATATATTATATTATTAGTTTAATATTAATGATGGATTACTGTGTAAACTGCCTTTTTACATCGTAATAGGTGGAGATGAGGTTATTATTGACTTCTTTATGTAGTGTTTAATAGTTCAATCTATAAAAATTGATCATATTTTATTAACTAATCATGTGTTTTTATTCAATAGCTAAACACAGAAATATAGGAATAAGTAGAGTACGCTACGTAAGTAAATTCACTTAGTTGTACTCTACTACTGACACTATAAAGGATTTCTTTTTAGAAATAGATATTAATATATATTAAAAAAAAAGATTACTTGTCATTTTGTTCATATATTTTATTTCTCTTTGTGATTTTTGTTGTTTAATCTGTATTTTTGTTTTATCTCGTATGCGTGTGATTTATTGTGGTTCAATCACTGCAGGTTTTACAGTTGATTCTCTATGACTCTGTTAGCAATCATGGATTTGCAGATTGCTAACACAGTAACAACCAGACAAGCTCTGTGTGTGTCAGAGGGAGATAGAAAGAGAACAGGTTTAGAAGAGAGGGATAGGCAGAGGATGATCTGAACGGGTGAGAGCGCAACAGAAACAGATTAATACCCGGGGCCGACCAAGAGCGAGAAAATGAGTGATGGGAAAAGGCAGAATGGGTTTCAGCACCACGGACAGCACCCAGAGCTGGACTTAATCTGAGTCCGACAGACTCCCGGCGTCCCTCCAGCTGACCTGCTCCTCCTTCACCTGAGGACCACACACTCAACGCCACGAGCGCCGCTGAAGCATCCTCACAGCTTTTTCAACCAGCGTCCCTCCACGCGACCTCCTCCTCCTCCTTCACACAAGGACTACACACACACACACACAAACACACACACACACACACACGCCACGAGCACCGCTGAAGCCTCCTCACAGCTTTCAAACACGACGTGCAAATCAGGCTCATCCGAGAAGGACTGCCAGGCTGATGTGATGTTGATGAATGACCAGATGCGCGGCAGCCTCGCTCACTGCCACTGTTTCCGTTCATGGAGGGACCCGGTCTCTCCCAAGAGAGGAGAGAAAAGACGGAGGGAGGGAGGGAGGGAGGGAGGGAGGGAAGGGGTGGTCGGTGTGTGAACAAAAGTAACTCACCTGCTGTTTTTGCGAGGCAGTGGCAAATCCTTCTGGAAGAAAGACAGAGAAAACAAAAAAGAAGAGAGAGAGATCAGGTAGAGAGAAACACAAACATTCTTACACATGAGTAATAAAGAAAAACATGTCATCTCCAGACAAGACAAAGCTCCTCCAGAACAACTGGAGACATTTTCACAAGCCAGGTAGCAGGAGTTTTTCCTTTTAAGTCACTATAAACCTTTTGAGAGCATCTTCCTTCTCAGACTGGATGTTTTTCCTGTTGAAACGAGACGTTGGGATTTAACCACAAAAAGAGAAGAAGCCCTGAAAGCTCCATCAGGTGGAGAGATTGTTGTGGTTTTAATGGTTGGGAGGTTTATATCCAACTACTGTTGAATCACAGTAGAGCCCGACCGATGGTGGATTTTTGGGGCCGATGCCGATAGGGAGTAAATATATATATATACATATATATATAGATATGTAATGAAAGCAGGATATTTTACAGTTTAACAATAAACTTTATTGTCCAAAATGACATCAGTGCACTGAAATGTAAAATTTCAATGGGAATTAAATAAAATAAAAAACATAAGTATATAAATATATATATATTTAACTTGAATGAAAACAGAGGATCAAATATACATAAAACGCTGCCTGTATAACTTGAAAATTAAATTACAGGATGTAACTTTTCCAAGAGTTAAAAACTATGTGTTTTAATTTGGATCTACTGTTAAATATCTGTATATGATGACACAAACATCCACAAAAGCTCCAGGTTTTACCAGCTGCTGGTGAAATGAGAAGCCGGTCTCATTGTTTCACAAAGAACTGGGGATTTTTTTTTTTTGAGGTAAATCTGTTAACGTTGGCATCGTGAACTGCTTTATGTACCATGCAATAGCAGAAAGCTTGACAGGCATAGCAACAACAACTAAGCTGGGCGGTGCTAAGTGAACAGCTAATTGCTATAACCTGGGGCTTCTGGAGGCCCCCGGGGGTCTGGAGAGGTTTCCCAGATGGTAATCAGACTAACGTGGTGATAAATCTGTCACGTATTCATCCTCGTTATTATTGCAAGTATGCACATTATCTATTTGTATCTTTTGAAAGTCGGTTTGTTAATCTCTGACGATGCTTTGAGCCAGGACTCCCCCCCCCCCCCACCGCCAGGCCCCGCCC